AAAATAAGTCAACCAATTATAGTAAATTCTAAAAAGGTTCGGTAATCTGGAAATGTTCAATAAGCTTGTTGATTATTTAATCAGCTCAGAAGATCGATCATCAATTGGTCGTGAATCAAATTCTCTAGAAAGAATGGTAATTTTTATAGTGAGAGAGCAAGTAATATTATTAGCTGCCCGATACGATAGTATCGGAGCAGCATTTTGTCTCGAATTGAACACGGAGCCTAATTAATTAATCGAATGGGCGTATTATGCAAACGTTTATAGCTAGATGACGTAGCTTTTAATTGTATTGTGTAGTATTTTCGATTAGTAATCGTGGGAGTTATCGGTATGATTAATTGCGTAATTTTTTCGGTCTGGTGATCGTTAGAGTTAGTTATAGTAACGTAATTACGTCGTTAGAGTTTTTTAGAGTAACGACATAGTTACGTAAGTTTTTCGATTTGTAATCGTTAGGGCATATTTAAAGGGGACGGGTTTTTTTCCCAGACAAGATAATTTCTGTTTTTCCTGCTAACCCGACTTTGGTTTTTTCCTCCCACCCCTATCGTTTTGAGCGTATTACGCTCGGGTAGGTACCGTTGCATGACAGGGCGTAATGAGAAAATAGCCATTGCTTAGTGGAGGTCAGAAGGGTTCGGCATCACAAGATCGAAGATTCTGCTTTGAAGTTTATATGTGGTGCTAAACAGTAAGTTATTCTTTTGATATAAAGCTATAATTTTTTTCTTTTTAATATTCTAATATTTAACTTGTTTTTCGTTATTTTATGAAGAACTAGCTATGTTCTTCAAGCTGAAACCAAAGCTGAGCTTAAAGATTGGATTACTGCTTTTGAATCACGCTTTCCGCTTAACAAAAACCTTGCAACATCCGCCGTTGCAGCTGTAAGTCCACATAAAGAGGTCAGAAGATGAACAAAATCCACCTACTACTGATGAAAAACAACGCAATGATGATGCAGCATTAAAATCTAGTGAAGGTTCCCGACCGGATGCATCAGTACAAAATCATCCAATCCTCCCGCAACATTATCTTCTACTTCCAGTGACTCATAACAAAATTCTTTAAACGTCTCAAATACAACAAATAAAAAAAGATCATCATCTATACCCAATCCTAAAAGGTCACAATTAGTTCCGACTTATACTATATATAGTGGTCTATCCAAGCTATCTGGTTCTGGTTTCTATAATATACCTACAATTATACTAGGTAAATTACGTAATATAGTATTTTAGTAGGTTTTTGCACATTTTGAATTTTGAACGAGTTAGCGTTAGAGCAATTTTGACCCATGATCCGTACGAAGTCGTCCACTAGAAAATAGCCAATCAGCGAGTTAAATTTTTGATTATCTCGGATCAGCCTGATGTACAGTAC